TCTTCTTGTGTACGAGGTGCCAATGACTGCGGTGGAACAGCTAGAGAGAACCATCAGCAAGTCCCTGCGCAGATGGTTAGGGGTGCCAAGGTCCCTGAGCAACATTGCTCTGTATGGCAGATCCACCAAGCTGCGTCTTCCGTTGAGCGGTCTGACAGAGGAGTTCAAGGTCACTCGGGCCAGAGAGGTGATGATGTACCGAGACTCTGCAGACACCAAGGTCTCCTCTGCTGGCATTACGGTCAGGACCGGGAGGAAATGGAAGGCACAGGAAGCAGTGGACAAAGCAGAGTCAAGGTTGAGACATAGTGTCCTTGTGGGCACCCTGGCAGTAGGGCGAGCAGGACTAGGCAGCTGCCCAAAGCCTCAGTATGACAAGGCCAGTGGAAGGGAGAGGCGTCAACTGGTCCAGGATGAGATACGAGCCGAGGAAGAGGAGGCTCGCCACTGCAGGATGGTAGGCATGCGCAAGCAGGGTGCGTGGACCAGGTGGGAGCAGACAGAGCCCCGCAAAGTCACATGGCCAGAGCTGTGCAGGGCCGAACCTTTCCGGATCAAGTTTCTCATCTCTTCTGTGTATGATGTCCTCCCAAGCCCAGCCAACTTGCATATCTGGGGCATGGCAGAGACCCCAGCATGTCCACTTTGCGGGAGAAGAGGTACCCTAGAGCACATTCTTAGCTGCTGTCCAAGGGCACTGGGCGAGGGGAGGTATCGCTGGCGGCACGACCAGGTCTTGAGAGTGTTGGCTGCTTCCTTTTGCAAGGCTATTCAAAGCAGCAAGAGTCAGATGCCACCTAAGAAGTCCATAACCTTTGTCAGGGCTGGTGAAAGTGCTAAGCGGAAACCCACTTCTGCTGGTGGGCTTCTAGCTACTGCGAGAGACTGGCAGCTCAAAGTAGATTTAGACAAACAGCTCAAGTTTCCAGATCACATCGTTGCCACGTCACTGCGGCCAGACGTGGTACTTTGGTCGGACTCCACAAAACAAGTGATCATGTTGGAACTGACTGTTCCGTGGGAAAGTAGAATAGTCGAAGCCCACGAGCGTAAAAGAGCGAAGTACACTGAACTAGTAATAGACAGTCAGAAGAGGGGGTGGAGGGCCCGGTGTGCACCGGTTGAGGTTGGGTGTCGGGGGTTCGCAGGTCAGTCGTTGTCTAGATCGTTAAAGCTCCTCGGAGTAAGAGGGCCGCAGCTCAGACACGCTATCAGAGATATTCTTGAGGCCGCAGAAAGAGCCTCAATTAAGATGGCTGTGGTTCCGTCGGGGGGATAGTTGGACAAATGCCACTTGGACACAAGTCGGGGATTGATCACCCCGGCTGGGTCGCCTGGATGAGGGTGTATGATGCTCAAAGACCCGAAACACCCAATGATTCCAGGTGCATCACTGAGGATGTGTCCTTGTCCGCACAGCACTTGTGTATTCTAGAATATATTCCTGACTATCTCGGAATATCATCAATAGAATAACTAGCGTCCATGGCTCATCACCTATGAATACATCAATGATTACACGCTTCCCATATGGGGAAAGTTGATCGTGTGATAACTATAAGATTCGGTAAGATCACTCACTGTAAAGATAAGAGAAATGAGGTTTACGCCTTGATAAGAGTGATTTGTACCAGCAGTTACAAACTTACAAATTATTTGGTAAGACGATTCACACACGATGGTTTCTTCTTTTTTTTGGAGGGGGGGGGGTGGACGCACTTCGAAGTAGGTTTGAAATAGCCTCCACCAGGCCTTTCTACAGAAATACGGATGGTAAAATTCGGCAAAAAAAGAGAGTAAAATTGGCCAATGGAGTCCGGCCGCGGGAAGCTTGTTTCTTTCCCTGCGCGGCCAGTCAAACCCCAAGGCAGCCAAACTCCCCTGGCTAATATTCTCCTATACATAGCCAGCGTAGTTAGTCTAGTGGAGACTAGGCTTGAAAGGAATCTAAATGATAGTAATACTTTTTCTAAGCAATCAAATTTTAAACAGCTAGTAGGAAAATCTGTGTTACGTTACTTCCGGGCGTTTTGCAAAAGCGCGATTTTGACACGATTTACTTCAAAGCACAGTACCATCTCCTTTCTATACATAGCTATTGACTTCTTAGCAACCTGCTTTTCAGAATGCGGTTAAACAAACAGTAGCATAAAGGGGTGGTTCATTTTTTTCTATGGTGAAAATATGAATGAATGAATGAATGAATGAAGGCATGAATGAACGAATGAATGAATGAATGAATGAACTTTATTGCTCGACAATCGTACATGGTACAATGGTGACAGTAATACAACAATACTACAAAGCTAAACTACCTTATTACATTTCTTGTATAGTGAAAATATGAATGAATGAATGAATGAATGAATGAATGAATGGATGAACTTTACTGCTCGACAATCGTACATGGTACAATGTGTGGCAGTAATACAACAATACTACAAAACTAAACTACCTTATTACATTTCTTGTATAGTGAAAATATGAATGAATGAATGAATGAACTTTATTTCTCGACAATCGTACATGGTACAATGTGTGACAGTAATACAACAATACTACAAAACTGAACTATCTTATTACATTTCTTGTATGGTGAAAATATGAATGAATGAATGAATGAATGGACTTTATTGCTCGACAATCGTACATAGTACAGTGTGTGGCAGTACTACAACAATACTACAAAACTAAACTATCTTATTACATTTCTTGTATGTGGATTTGAGAGCGTTAGACTAAACGTACGGGCGTCTTTCGGGACTGCTGAATAATTTAGTGAGTCTGTTCGTGGGATATCCGCCAGGATTTTCCACCAATCCCGAAGGAAATAAGTCGGGATAAGTTTTATTCTGTTGTGGAAACTACTTTGTGCGGGTTGTAATCCTGTAGTATCCGCGGGAGTCCCAGAATGGAACTCTCTTCAAAAAGATTTTAGGCTTCAGCCTATTTTCGACGTGGTTTAGGGTGTTTGATCGAGTTTTCTTTTTCGCATTGTATCTGTTTTTTTGTTTTTTTTCGTGAGTAATCATGTAGTATCTGCGGGAGTCCCAGCATGGAACTCTTCAAGCAGAGGGTTAGCATCGGCTTCAGTTTATTTTTGACGTGTTTTTGGCGTTTTATCGAGTGTACTTTTTGTGCTGTGTCTGTTTTTTTTTTTGCCTGCCAAAGTTTGATGTATGTATGTTTTGATTTTGATCCTGTCTTACAGCCACTAAAATCTGCCTTGAGATGAATACGGTCGTATTTGCAGCGTTCCAACAACAGTAGATACTTCATCAGCTTATTTTTGTCGTGTTTTAGGTCTTTTCTCGAGTTTTCTTTTTTTGGAATTTTTTTCCCAGCCAAAGGATGGCGTTCTCGGTACTTCGGGTGGCAAATGGATACTGCCTTGCCAGTTTTGATGCTATCTTGCAGCCACTAAAATAAACTGCTTAGAGGTTAATCCCATTGTATATGCAGCGCTCCAACAATAGTACAGAGTTAATCAGCTTATTTTTGTCGTGCTGTTATGTCTTTTCTCGAGTTTTGTTTTTTGGAATTTATTATTGGATACCTCGAGTGGCCAGTGGATACTGCCTTTCCAGTTTTGATGCTATCTTGCAGCCACTAAAATAAACTGCTTAGAGGTTAATCCCATTGTATATGCGACATCCCAACAATAGTACAGACACACAAAGACTAGGTAAATCCACACCGACGCGCATTATTGACCGGATCCCCAGAGTTGAACTCACGACGTTACTATGGATTATTCGAACACTGTGTGCGGCCGCCATACTTGATTGAAGGTCAGCCCGTTCAATGAGGAAAGGTCATCGGTGTTAGGGAGAACTAAAGGGAAAATTGTAGCGAATTTCCGCCCATTTGAATCTAAACTGTTGTCGGAACTGAAGTGATCTGCCTTCACTGTGTCCGGTACTAAGTTAATTCCGGTAGACTTTCTGTGGGCCATGTACCATTCGGATGCAATCTGTATCTATTATACCTGCATTATTCCAGTAATTGTTATTAATCAAAACGCTTTTCCGCGTAAGATACCTGTCTTTAGGGCGAAGTTTGCCTAAAGCTAAGGTCCCAATTACGCCGGTGCCCGTCGGGGATGTAGCCCCGGCTGGCCCCGGCCGGGTTCAGGAGTCGGGCGGGCATCGGCTGTCGTGGTCACAATTAAAAGTTTCCTTCAGTAGCATTTTGTTAGAAATTTTGTCACCCTCTTTGGTCGGTATCCGGCAGGCACCCGGCAGGTACCCAGCAGATTCTCTGACGATGTCTTGTACTGACCTATACGTAATGCAGAATTCACGTATTTGTTGTGATCATTTGATCTGTGAGGTCACACATTTTACCCGGGTTTACGAAGTACACGCCTTTATTCTGTTCATCTGGTCTGTGACGTAAGAAATGTGTCCCGGTGGAATGCCGGCAACCGGAGGGGTACCTCTCGGTGTTCTCACGATGAGGTCACGGCGTCTTTTTGTCAGCGGGGCCCGGGTAGAATTTAACTCAGAATTAAATTCTTATCGGGGCCCCGACGGGCCAAAAAATAGCCCGGTAGCCGCAGGGTGCCCCGCGGGGCCACGTCGGGGTCCCGCCCGAAAGTGGTAAAAAACAGCCCGGGAACTACCCGCCAGGGCCCCTTTTCCCAATTGGGACCTTAGCTTAAGGCGTGGTCAGGTCCGTCGAAGGGTTTTCAAGCAGGCAGAACCAACGGCCAACAAGGATGTAAGACAGCCTTATTCAGAACCTTTCTTAGGCACGGTTCTGGATAGTCTACGTACGCGTATCCAGAACCGTGCCATGGGCAAATCCACGTTCTTGGATACGCAGAGACTATCCAGAACAGTCCCTGATCCTAACCCTAACCCATTCAGCTATAGGACTAAATAGGCACAGTTCTGGATATTTCCACGTGCTCGAGGTGTGGCTGTCCTCACACAGGTTTCACACTCCTTCCGAAGGACTGTGCCAATAACAGTATCCCTTACAAGCATTATGGAGTTCCTGTGTTGCTTCTGTCAACGCTAATATGAAATGTTGCTCAAATTAATTAAAGTTATTGGAATCGCTTGACGACAGACAGTCCTTGATGTAATCCAAATCTTGAACAGAGTAACACTTCACCACTGCTGGGAAATTTTCGGCCGGGCAGCTTTTTGTAAAGTACGAAAGACAACAAAGCACAGAAAAGTGTTTAGTAATAATCATGGGCACTATTTCTGTATATTCTTGATATAAATTATTTATGTTCCGTTCATACAAACAGCCCGGCCGGGCCCCGGTTTGGAAATGTGACCTAAGCATTACACTTGTGATGATTTTTGGACTCCTCTGGAGTTCATCTTCCATTCTCTGCCTGAGTCCACACCCTGGTCCCGGCGAGATCCTTTCATTATCGCGCGGAATTGGAGTGAGGTTTGCAAACTCCCGAGCTCAATACGTCTTGACCTTCGCCGAGCCGATACTCGTGACCTTGACGTTTTCTTGCGGCGGATGAGGCGGAAGGATTCGCCCCTGGAGAGGGTAAACAGGCCCGGGGGAGTCTACTGCTCATCTCACTATGATGAAAGAAAGGAATATCAGAACTACATTTGTAAATCTCACCACGCCTAACAGAAAAGACCACCAGGCAAGTGAGTACTAAAACGTTAACATTATATCAAGTAGAAAAGTAACATTTTGCAAACAAATGCATAATACTAATAGCTTGAGTGTCAGCTTTGTTAGCTTTCGTCCGGTAGCGGGTCTTGGGGAGCGGACAAAAGCTAACAAGGCTGACACTCAAGCTATAATGCTAAGCTTTACATGGACTACAATAAACTACTGCTCTGTTTATTCTTACTCAAACGCATTCATATATATATGGCGACCAGTCCCTATCCTGCCACTTGCCACATAATGTAATGTGTGTCTGCCACTGCACCAGTTACCATGGTGACAGCCATCTGGTCCGGGTCATTGACCTTATTAGTTTGGAGAAGATGAAGAAGAGGAAACGGAGCAAAAACAAAATTTATTCTTCTGCGAAGGTTAACATAACTCTTAAGTCTTGATGGCGTCATTTGCAAGTATGAATGAATAAATGAATGAATGAATGAATGGTTTATTCGATCATTTTCATCAGGTAAAGTATATCGCAGCCATGTATGTTTTTAACATGCACAAACTATCTGCCGTCCAACTTAAGGAAGACAAACTTCATAAGAGAGATATATAAACTTGAACCTGAATATTAAGGGTGGATCTCTGAATGTCGACGATAACAAAGCAGCTATCAAATTTTCGTTCTATTTGTATTGGATTTCTATTGTTATTGTTTTTTTATTACTGTGTGATCCTTTCTTCCCTTCCCAGTTGATTTGATGACGCGGAACATATCACCAAATTGGGGAACATCAAGATTCAATAAACTCAGCCCGTCCCGGAAATTCGCCGGTAAGCCGTATCGATCATTATTAGGGACGCTACGTTAATCACCTGGCGGGACGTGACCGCGCACCAAGGGACCGTCCGTTCAGATTTGGCCAGGGTTGCGTCATTTCATTGCAAAAAAAAGTTACATATATCTAAATAAGTGCATCGATACCTATTAGGGACAGTACGTTATTCAGCAGGCGGGACGTGAAGCGCACTAAGGGACAGTCCGTTCAGACTTGGTCAGGGCTGCGTCATTTCATTGTCCTGTCTTCACCAAAAAAAGGTAAACGTAAGTAAGATATGTCGATCCCTACTAGGGACGGTCCATTATTCACCAGGCGGGACGTGACGGTGCTCTAGGGGACCGTCAATTCAGATTTGGTCAGGGCAGCGTCATTTCGTTGCAAAAAAAAAAAGTTACATATATCTGAATACTGTAAGATTCATCGATCATTATTAGGGACAGTACGTTATTCACCAGGTGGGGCGTGACCAAGTACCAAGGGACCGTCCATTCAGATTTAATCAGGGTTGTGTCATTTCATTGTCCTCTCTTTAGCATTAAAAAATTTAAACGTAAGTATGATATATCGATTTTTACAAGGGACCATCCGTTATTAACCTGGTGGGACGTGACCGCGAACTGAGGGACCGTCCATTCAAATTTAGTCAGGGTTGCATCATTTTATTTGCCCCTTTCCAGCATTAAAAAAAGGTAAACGAAATTAAGATTTATCGAGGATATTTTTCAAATACGTTTAGGTTAATCACTCCCATCCATTTTTGTTTCCTACCACCGAACATTATGCGTATCTAGATTCATAGAGTCCACTTATCCAGTGCCCCTCCCTGATTGATATTAAGGACGCTGTCATTCGTAAGTTTAGACCCATTTTTCATGGCAAGTGTAGGTTCCAACCTTGTCCTTGGAGTAAGACATTTGCAAAATGGACGTGAACTTAAGTGCAAACGTTTTCACACCATTGTTAATAACATATATGTGTTAATACGTCGATGAAGGTTAGACATCCAGGTAATACGATACGCCAAAAGCAGTTACACAAGCAACTGGATATGATTTTGAAACTGCCCCAGACGTTTCAGCTAGTATCCACTAGCTTTCGTCAGTGACTGACACACCAGAGGGGAAATGCAGGTTTATAAGCACAAACTATTGATTGATATGCAAATAAAGTGAAGACAAATTTTTGGAAGTCGAAAATGGAACAAACGTCAGGCAAGTCAAGACAAGATGCAAATTAGTCAGAAAGCTCCTGTTATGCAGAACAGGGGAACACGATATGTGTACACTACTAGTTTCCTTGCTGTGTGCCATACACACCTGTATCCTTCCCATGTATATCTGTGAATAAGAAAAACTGATTATTCATACAAGTAGCCATCTCTCTCCCTTCCCCCTCTCTCTACATGTACATCTATTTACACTTGTATTTATCTATCTACTTAAGGCATGCATCTATCTATCTATCTATCCATCTATCTTTCTATCCATCTATCCATTTAGCTATCTAGTTTATAGCTATCTATATCTATGTCTGTATAGCAACCCATATGTATGAATATAATAATTCATAGAACGTCGGACAAAGGCTTGAACCGGCGTGACTACTAGTATCAGCTTTTCATACGTTTTGACGTGGAACTAGACTAGCCTGGTTAAATCGCTTTACGGTTGCCGGCCGCCCAACATCCAGCCGGCCCCCGAAAAGTACAGCATAATTCCGACCCTATACGATCTGTATTCGCGTCTTAACGCGTTACTTGTTCCAATATACACCCACGCCCACAGGAGGGACGATGGTATTTGTGATAATATGCGGAGGCGAGTCGACTATTCAGTACAACACTTAATGATAAAGATAGCTACATGAAAGGGTCATTTATCAAAACGTCACTTGTTGAAACATTGTCAGCCTTTCATATAAATGATATCGATGTATAGATATACATTCTAACGTCTCAAATCTTTTTTTAAGACTTGGACAGTCCACGCGTATCCAGAACCATGCCTGATTCTAACCCTATCCCTTTCAATCATAGCTCTAGATAGTCCAAGTCCTGGTCCTAACCCATACCCGTTCAGGCATACATGTAGAACTAAATAGGCGCGGTTCTGGATATCATAAATGAATGAATGACGACCTTTATTGCACATTTTTGCCACACTGGGCTAAGTACAGGTCAAAACAAAACATAATGGAGAAATATATACAAAATAAAACTAACTATCATTACATAAATTCGACTTCTCGCTTTTCAGTTATGGTAGAGATAAATGAACAGATATGTTTATCGATGGAAGGCTTGTCAAGTCGCATCAGGAATATGAATTTTTCTACAGTGCTCAAGTGTATGAAATAAGGAAATAGGTTTTGTACAAGCCTATACAGATCACTTCTCTCTTTACTATATAATCTACATTCTATAACAAAGTGACATTCGTCCTCTATTCTATTCAGATTACAACATTTACATAACCTTTGTTCCAGAGGGGTCATAAAGACCACCCAAAACCCTACCAGCCACATTACAACTCTGGAACTCCCTCCCACAGGACATTGTAGCTCTAAAGGACAGACACAAATTTAAGAGAAGTGTAAACCGTCACCTCAGTGGTATCGGACAGCGCCCTTGTGACAGCTGCTAAGCTGAGACTGACATTACATAGATTAAAAAAAACAAGAAAAAAACCGTGTGTTGATCCTAACCCATTCAGGCATAGAAATAGATAGACCCGGTTCTGTATACGATAGTGGCTCTGTGACTGGCACTTCCCGCCATAATTTCACCCTCCGTTGCTCTTCACTGCTCAGCGTGTCAGACACACCGTTCCACTAGACAGTAATGGCTCCTATATTGCCGGAGTGAGTTTCACGGCGTTTTCGCCCGTCAGTGATAGTAACAGTAGCAATGTCAGTAATAGCTTCTGCATATTGCTGTGGTGAGTTTCACAATGTGACCGCCCGTCTAGTGCTAGTCTGTGTAACGCAAACTCTGTCGTCCGCGGCTATAATGGCCCGTCCTTGCTAAATCTTTAGCCATGACGCACCAGTGTACCTATATTCTCAATAACGAACGCTGAATTGTGTTTAAACGTTTCTTTATTCTCATCACACGACAGTTTCATCTCTCTACTGTTTCCAAATGACAAGGGGGTGGGTTCACGTGACCCGCGTCGTCCCCAGGGCACGTTTAATATCCGAGATGCCCCATCTCGTCCCCAGAGTTCAGTTCATATCCATGGAGAATTTGACTTGGAGAGAAGTTGATTGATAACATCTAGAATATCGTGCACTGATTTCGACTAACGTTTACTAGTGGGGATAAAGTTCAATCGCTTTGGGTTTGAGCTTTATTTATCTATTGATCTTAAAACAGTTGGCTAATACCTTCAGTTTTCCAAGGTAGCCCAACAAAACAAGTTACAAAGGCAATAGACAATCAAGTAATTAAACATAGAGATAATAAATAATATGAACAAATAGTGCAATTAATGAATCATAAGAAACAAGACATGTCAACCAAACAAATATTCAAAATCATAAGGCATAACCAAAGTCCGTGTCATTTCAGTCAAAAAGTAAGTTTTTATAGATAAGCTAAGATAAGCTTTTCCCCTTTTATGTTAAATCGAGCATGTCGCAAGATTTTCTTGGTTAACGTTAATCTCTAAGCAGATCTTTTGTTTGCTGCAAGACAATATCAAATTGGCAAGTCAGTATCATCGCCATTTTTCATCAACAAAATGTACCTAGTTGCTGGTGGACGTGCCAACCACTAAGTATATTATACCAGCTAGCTCAGAAAAGAACAAGAAACAGTCATTCCTTCAAATGCCAGAGTTATCAACCAAAAATTGTGGTGTTAAAAAAAGTACATTTGAGGCATCATCACTAAAAAGCTTTAAACAAGTTCTGCAATCAAATGTGCAAAGACTGTGCGATATAGCTAGCTGCCGCCGTGTCGCGTGCCTGCGAAGCTGGTGTGTTATGTCCAAGGGCGGTTACACCGGCTATACAGATACAGATACAGAGTAGTATCATTACTAAACTTGTAAACAATAAGCCAAATCCCAAACCTCTGCTTGGACTTGAAGAGTATCTCTTCGTTTGAGTGCGCGAATGCACTACTGTTTTCTGTTTAGCTTGCTGTAAGAATGACAAGAAACTTTGTTGCTTGACAGTCCTATCCGATACAATACCACGTAAAACACAGTGTAAAGTCAACTCTCATAGTATGAGAATATATATCATAGTGTGTAGAAGATACATAGCTGACGACTCTATCACTGAATCATGATGGTGTCATCGAATGACTCTTCTTTACCAGACGCTGCGAACAACGCACTAGCTTTTTCCTGGAGGTCAAAGGTCATAGAACCGAGATTCGAATGCAGACGACCGGACGGTACGTGTTGAATTTCCCGCCTTTTCTTCTCGTTTTCTTTCGTCACAGAAAGTATGCAAAGTTTCTAGCATCCGCGTTATGTTTGTGAGAGTTTTTAGGTATCACAAGAATGCTTAGGAAGTTTCAGGGCTTCTTTTTTTGTCGTTCCAGCGATGAAATTTAGGGGTGACCTTGAACAGTTTGTGATCATGGCACAAGAACATGGAGGCGCCATCATTCTGTCACGTTTCCTTTCGTCACACAAGGTAAGGATAATCACCAGTAGCCTTAGACTGTTTGTGAGAGTTCTTAGGTATATCAACTTGTCAACAATGTTTTTTGTGCCACGGATTTTCTTTGTCATTACAGCAAGTTTAGAGGTGACCTTGAACAGTTCACAAGAACCTGAAGGGCGCCTTGATTCATGGATTCATGCACGCTTTCGTTCATCACAAGGTAAGGAAAGCCTCCAGTAGCCTCCTACTCTTTGCATGGAGGTAGCTTTTTTCTACCTCCATGCTCTTTTTGAGAATTGTCAGGTATCGCAAAAATGCTTATTAGTAGGAAGTTTCAGGGCTGTTCTTTTTGTCGTTGCAGCAATGAAGTTTAGAAGTGATCACAAGAAACATGGAGGATGGAGGGCGCCATCACTAAGTCATTTTTTTTCACCACCGAAGGTAAGAAAGGCCTCCAGTTAAGCCTTAGACTGTTTGTGAGAATTCTTAGGTATCACAACAATTCTTCATAAGCTCCATTTTTATTGATTGTGTTTGTTTGGTTTTAGAGCAATGAAGTTTAGAGGTGACCTTGAAGTCAAAAACACAACAACCAAGAAGGGCATCATCACTCGCTCCAGTTTGCACGTGGACACAAGCACAGTGAGGTAAGAACACGTTATGTCAGTCTCATGAAAAAAATAATGTTTGATTTACATGGAGTAGTCAAGTTTTCTGAGAAATTTAAACTGTTCTCCAACTCATAAATTTCACTCACCGGAATTTTCGACTGAATCACTCAGTCTTCCTCAGCTATCTGACCCAAATGCTGTGGACAATTCAGGTGATAGAAATCTATGACTTTCATGCTGAAGTAGTCAAGTTTGCTAGCATTCAAGTTCCAGCATTCTAGCATGTTCCTTAGTGGTTAATTGCTCAGTGATCATGTTGACTTGATGTTACAGAAATTGTGTTGAAAATTGGTTAAGAGTTAAATGTTGCAAGTTGTGTCCTAACAAACTTGTTACAAAGTTGGTTGGGCATATAACATGGCCCTTTACATCACATGTATAAATTTCCAATGTTGTGATCTGGGATTTCATGTAATGTTTCATCTCAAATCCCACGTGGATCCCACGAGATGAAAATCATCACAGGGGATCCACATGTAATCCAACCAGAATCTGGCTTTGATCCTTGGATATTGGATCTGCTCTCCCAGTGGGATTTTGCCTGAGATCCCTCAGTGTGTAGTTACACTATCTAGCCTGGGTAGCATTCCAGTTGTGTGATCTCTGTACTAGGATCCCATGTAGGATCTTTAAGCAGATCTTACGGGCATCTTAGTGATACCCTCACCGGATACAGATACTGGACAGTTTTCTTCACTCTATTCATATACCAGAATGAATTATTCTTATGCTGCATTATCATGTTTCTTTATTCATATACCAGAATGACTTATTTTCTTGCACTGTAATATATCATGTATTACCTTCTAACTGTATACTGATACCAGAAATTTTTCTTCACTGTATTCATATACCCCTCTAAACACATGACCCCTGACCTCATAGACTGACTTATTCTTTGACTTTGACTTATGCCTTATGATTTTGACTATTTGTTTTGGTTGATATGTCTTGTTTCTTATGATTGATTACTTGTACTCTTTGTTCATATTATATAAACATATTATCTCTATGTTTAATTGTTTGATTGATATTATGTTAATTTTGTCCCACACTGTACTTGATGTGATTTTTGTCTATGTCCCTTGTATGTTAAGCTACCTTGGAAATAAGTTGTCCTAAACTGAAGGTATACCAGAATGACTTATTTTCTTATACTGCATTAACATGTATTGCTTTATAAGTGTATAATGTACTGTGTAATCTATTCCTTTTAGTGCAGGATTTTTCCTTTATCTTAGATTCTAATTTAATTTGTTTTGTGTTACGTCTGTACTTTTTGTGGGTCAGACATTACAAGCAGAGTCTGCCTGTGCTGAGTAGAGTAGAGGGTCAGCATAAAATAATGACAAGTATCATTGCCAATAATACACATACAAATATATTGATGATTATTCTTTGGACCAAATGTTGTACACTATATGTGATAGGACCACCACTGATAACATTCAATGTGTCAAACCAACATGAAACTCTGGTGACCAGGTTGGTGCAGTTAATTCCCATATCAGAAAAACTCAGGCCCCACCAACTCTCTATAAGCTGTATAAAAGTAAGACCTAAAACACTTTGGTGCAACCTAGGTGGGATTTGGGAAGGAGCTTTAGACCCTCTAAAGAGGATTTGTAAAAGAAACTGCCGGCTTACAGCTTGTATAGTCTAGTCTGGACCAGGCTGGTGTATAGTCTCTGGCTAAGGATCAGTCTAAGGTTATTTGTAAAAGGGCAACCAAAGGTGTCAGAATGTAGTGGAGGTATTAACTCACATAACCTTAGCCATTTTCCTGGATGAATAGAGAAGAACGGATTTCTCATTGGAAAGGAATGGAGACATTTTTTTGTATAAAGGATTCTGTATGGATGTGTGTGTGTGTGTGTGTGTGTGTGTGTGTGTGTGTGTGTGTGTGTGTGTGTGTGTGAGTGTGTGTGTCTATGAGTGTGTGTGTGTGTGTGTGTCTGTACTCTGTAAGTATGTGTGTGTGTGTGTGTGTGTGTGCGTGTGTGTGTGTGTGTGAGAGAGAGAGAGAGAGAATGTGTGTGTGTCTGTGTGTATGTGTGTGTGTGTGTGTGTGTGTCTATGAGTGTGTGTGTGTGTCTGTATGTATGTATATATGTGTGTGTGTGTGTTTGTTATGGTGTTTATCTGACATAGATGTATATCTTAACAGTAAAGGTTATGTAGGGAAATTTCGAAATTTCAAACCTGTGTGGTTTTATATACTTTTTTGTTGTGTTGTGCAATGAGTTAAAATCATGTCCAGTTGCTTGAGTAACTGCTTTTTGGCGTATCGTATTACCTGGATGTCTAACCTTCACCGACTTATTCATTCATATATACATAGAGCACAGAGACTACAGCAAATGGGAGTGACAAAACTCACAGATGGTGCAGCGTCTCAAGCTGGCACTGCAGCATTTCCCAAGGGGGCCGTAACACTAATTTACGCCAACTGATGAAACCACGTATGATACTTTATGACTTTATGATATAGGGGGTGCTTTTGATGTACTTAATCAATGTATTCATGTAATATGACACTTCATATTAGGCTGTGAGTGCATCCAAGTCTTTTATAGAGCATTTACCTTTGCCAAAGCCCTATCCAAGGAGGTTAGATAAGAGAACCTTCTTGCCCTATCCTCGATCCGGATTGCGAATATTTAGTATTACCATATCGTAGGTAATATCCAACACACATGTAGCAAGAACCCCCCCCCCCTTAGTGCAAAATGACTTACTTTCTGTTAGACTGGTATTAGGCTGGTAACGTAGAATGGTAACGTATTTACATGAATTTGAGTTTGATTTTCTACTGTTTCGCCATAGAATTTACTTCCATTCGATATGAAATGTTCAAGAACTCACTTCTTTGGCCAACAAAAAAAAAATGATTTGTCTTGTAAAACGTATATTTAGGTAATCACATACTAGTAATCAACAAACAACGTGCATGACGTAACGGCCTTATTGCAGAAGGTGATAAAAAGAACATCTGTGTTTGCCAGGGTCTGTAGTTTCCCGCCTATATAATCTAGAACTAACTGAGCGTTAACACATGCACGAATGGTGAGCAGAGATACGTGTTGACGACGTGTTTACAGGAAATAACCGGATGCTGCTGAACATGTTCAAGTTTATGCTCCTTTTTTAAAGACCTGGTCATGGGATTGTGGCATTAACGACTGCTTGAGTGTAACTTAAAGACTGTTTAATCATATTGCAATATTTAAGAATTTTTAGGATAGCCAGAACTAACTGAGCGTTAATAAATGCACGAATGGTGAGCAAGAGATACGTGTCAACGAAGTGTTTACAGGAAATAACTTAACGGTGCTGAACAAGTTAAAGTTTCTGGTCCCTTTTTTTATTAGGCCCGGTCATGGAACTGTAAAGATTGCCTGCCAATTGTGGCATTTTAATCATATTGAAATATTTAAGAATTTTCGGGATAGCCAGAACTAACTGAGCGTTAACACATGCACGAATGGTGAACAGAGATACGTGTTTACAGGAAATAACAGGATGCTGCTGAACAAGTTTATGCTCCTGTCTATTATTAGGCCCGGTGAAGATTGCCTGCCGATTGTGACATTTACGACTGCTTAAGTGTAACTCAAATACTTCTTAGCCATATTGATATATTTAAGTCTCATTTACGTGACCTACGACATTAAAGCAACCTAGAGCTAACTCTATGGTAAAGGGTCCTTGTCTGATTCAAGTTTTTTTGGGGGGCTTCTTCTAAGGCACGACAGTGACCGACGAAACACCACAATCGTACTAAATCTACATAGTTTAGAAAAGTTTTGCCTTACGACAGTGTACGAATCGGATTTTCCCTCCATTTTCGGCGTCTTCTGGTTGCGGTCCAACTCCAGAAGGGCTGTTCTATCTTGTCGGTGAAGGCTTTTTCCCTTCGTAATCAATGCTTTCCTTGCCTTCCGAATGCGCCAACACAAGTCTTCCCTTCGATCCGGGTCCAGCTTCAATGCAGGAACATGAAGTTGTCCAACCCGTCTGCTTACTCCTGATGAGCTTCTTCATACCAAGGACGTTGTACTCTTTGCACTCACTCACTCACTCACTGCGCCGAGCTCACTCGAAGTCTCCCCATGACTGTCTGTTTCCATTTTTCTCTATCCTCCATCGCAGCAGGCAGTTCACTTAGAGTCATTCCACTGTCAGCCTCTAGTTGCTTTACGTAAGTTAAATGTGGTCTTCCGCGACTTCTTTTTCCATGACTCGGGTTCCACAGTAAGAGTTTGTGTACTACCTCATCCTTTTTCTTTCAACAGTGGCCTACAGAACGTAGTCTCCTTTGCCATATTGTTTCAGCAATCGGCGGCATGTTTTTGGACAGCTCACGGTTTGAAATTCTTGCAAGTCCTTGCAAATAGATACAAACTCTGGACAGACGCTGGTTGTATGTACATGTAAGCACCTCGCTGATCCTCCCACTACATGCACCAACACGACTTGCCGCTGATCACTCCTCCTCGACTCTCGGTTGCCATGGTTTTCGTACTTTCCCGAACTTCTGTGCGATACCGTCAACTTGGAGTAAGTGAGGTAATTACGATCATAGTGGAACTGGAGAAAAGAAATTGAAACCACAAGCTCTTAGCGTTGTTGTTCCACCTTCTTGTTGTAGGCAGGCCCGCAAATTGAAGACTGAAGGAAGAATGACCGGGTTTCCCCTCGCTAAATGCTGATTCGTTTCCTTTAGTGATGAGATGACAAACTCCTGCATACCATCTTCGGGTTGGTACGCGTTTGGCCTGTGGGTCCCGATCTTCGCTCGAGCTTGTACTGGAGATGTACATGATATTGGCCCAATTCCTATCCAGTCGGTTTTTAAACTCATTGACTGTCCTAGCTTCAACCACTGTTTGTGGCAAGGAATTCCAGTCCTTCACAGTTCTAACGCTGAACTCAGATTGGCATTCTTCCTCTTCTTCCTCTGAGTGACCGCTATCGTCATGTCGATCATTCTGTCACTTAGGGGAAAGGTCACCAGTCAAGAATTCATAAGAATTCAAGAAGCCCTTGCCACAAATGTTTCAGTATTTGTGGCTTCTACTGTTGTCTGAGGTAGAGAGTTCCAGTCTTTAACTGTCCGTGGCAGGAAAGACGCTGCTCGATACTGAGTCCTGCCCCAGAGTACTCACTACACATTGCTGTGTACCATGTGAAGTTATGTCCCCCGCCGCAAGTCCTCTCTGAGCGCTCGCTCGCTCTCGACAATCAAATCAGAGTAGAGCTGGCTTTAGCTCTAGCCTTGCGATAAAACCCACTTCCACGGCCGATCAATCCTGCTTTTGTTTGTCCTCTACTGCGCTCGCCCGGAGGCGTGTACGAACGAACGCGCTCCTCTCCCGACTTTAACTAACTCCGCGAGCCGGACGAACTACAGACGCGGCGCCCGTCCTCCCGTCCGCATCGAATTCACCCAGGCTGGCATATGTTTTGTCTCTACATTAATCAACCCGCCTGATTAAACCTGCCACCTCAGGGGACGTACCGCCGGCGACCACCTGACAGGCACCTGTCGCTGAGGACAGCTAGAGCCAACTGTAGGCAGGGGGCCTCGGCTGTTGGCGTATCCCATGGTGCCGCGCGCAATTGAATACGGAAGTGATTACAGCGCGCTACATACAGACGAGAAACTTGCGGGGCGGGAGTCGGTCGCACCTGTTTTGCCTGCGTGAAGAAGTACGCCGCTTCTACTAGGAACGTGCGACGGGAGCAAGAGGATATTTCTTTGCCAAGGACAGGCTCAGCAATGGCGGGGACAGCTTTCGGCAAGAGCGGACGATTTTCTCTTTGGACGGCCGCGGTGATTTGGGCAGCCCTGCTACACGGTGGGTCGACTTTACTATTATAGTATCGGTGGGACAGATCGCACGCCCCCCGGCCCTCGCCTTTTGTACGGCCCGGCTCCGTGCAAATCGCGCATTGTCCGGCCTTGTGATGCTCTGGCACGTTCGGCGCTGATTTTTTAACCTCAGTCCATAGCATGCCAAAAACTGGGGGTCTTTGGGAACTTTTATGTGCGATTTTCTGATTGCATATACTAGACAACATAGCCGGCCTGGTTGAATTACCCCCGTGTTTTGAAATAGGCTAATCAGAAAACAGGAAAAGACCACCAAACCCCCAGTTCTACAAGCCTGCTAACTTGATTTCTGGCCTCTTGGCACCGCGTTGTTTTGATTTTTCCTTCGCCGCCAGGCACATTTACTCCCGTCGGCCCTCCAGCCAACGAACCGTCGGACGGCCCGTCCAACCGCCTGGCCCATTCAGTACGTAGCCCCGGGGCTTGACGTCATATGGCGTTTGTGTCCGACCTATCTGTCATCTTTCTCAAACCGTCAGAGATACTAGCTAGTAGCCGGTCTATCACATTAACACTACCGGCAGTCTATAAAAACCTAAACAAGTGTCGATCCTGTCACTCACAGTGGCGCTAGCTCTCCACCTCTTTATGGCTAGCTTCGCACGTACTATCAGTTGGCTGATGATCGCGGCCCTTTAGTAGCTAGCTTCGTAGCAGGCTTATAGAACTGGGGGTTTGGTGGTCTTCGGCTGTTTTTCGATTAGTCCAAACGGGGGTACTTCAACCAGGCCGGCTATGTTGTCTATATGTAATCAGAAAATAGCACATAAAAGCTCCCGAAGTCCCCCAATCCCCCAGTTTTTGGCATGTTATGGAGGCTAGCCCCTTTAGCAATGGAAGGCGTATTCAGCGTATTATCACCCAGGCGTGACCGAAGGGGATAAGTGCAATGTAAACACGCCCTGCCCGACCACCCCTCGGGCCCACAACCGTTTATCCAACATCAGACGTCCAGGAATGATGCCCACCTTTAAGAAAACAAACATCGTTTTACAAGAACAGCAAAAGCCTGCCCCGGGTTATCAGAGATAGCGAAAGGTTCCCTCCGACAGACAGGCTAGGCACAACCACTTGTAAAACCTTCCCCGAGCCTTGATACTCCGAATTACGACGTGAAATATTTATTACAATGTATTGGGACTGTCACTGATATTACCGGGCCCTGTAAGTGTAACCCTGTACGGTGTCCAAACTGGGGGATTTTCGATGCTGGATTATAGGAAAGGTTCCCTCGGACAGACAGGCTAGGCACAACCACTTGTAAACCCTTCCTCGAGCCCTGTCCATGATACTCCGAATTACGACGTGAAATATTTATCACAATGTATCGGGACTGTCACACAGATATTACCGGGACCTGTAACCCCATACATACGGTGTACAGACTCTAGGATATCCGAGGACAACAAGTGACCCTGTGGCTCGGGAATTGAACCCGTGCCCGCTGGGTTGTTCTCGCGAATACAGATCTGAATTGGATTTAATTCAGTGTTTTTGATTGATGGTGGGTTCTCCCGTAACGCATCTCATCTCGCTTCATAACGCCCCAACAAGTCCGGAACGTAAACAAATGTAAGGACCTCTCTTAAGGGTGAAAAATCGTACGTATTTCGGAACGGAAATGATTGTAGCGTTGTTATATTAAGTGGCAGCAGCCTACAATTTCCGATTTTACAGTACGACACTCTTGTATTAGGTCTAAGTGAACGCCTGTTAGTGCTGTATTCTTTGCTCTCGGTCTCACGAATTTGTTAGGATGGTTTTAAGTTAAGACAACCCTCACGTTGAGTAGGCCTGTAACCAGGGATATTCTCCTCGTTACTAGCAACGCGTCCTGTCTCGATAAGCACCGGGTCCTTTCTCGGTATTCCGGCGGGACCTGAGCGAACCGGGCCCCGACAAATCAGGGTGGGTCGCCCCGGGGGCTTGTTTGACCGGCCGTTGTGCGTTTATCTCGGCGGAAACCTCGCTTCATGGCCGGGCCTAGATCCTATGCCTAGCCTCCATAGCATGCCACGAACTGGGGGGTTGGGGGGTCTTCAGGGTCTTTTATCATTTATGTGCTATTTTCTGATTGTATATATACACAACATAGCCGGCCTGGTTGAATTACCCCCGTTTTTTAGAACTGGACTAATCGCAAAACAGCCGAAGACCACCAAACCCCCAGTTCTATAAGCCTGCTACGGAGGCTAGGCGGCTATCAGGGTAGGAAAGTGTGTGGGTAGATAGCGTAGAGCGCAGTGGAGCATGCATGGCCAGTACAGTGGTGGTGACGGATGTACTGATGGCTTGGCTTTCACAATGAGACGGCCGGAGATACCGAATCTCTTATGATCGCGTGTATTACAAAGGAAAGCGTCTGAAAAGAGCTCGGGTTGGCCACAATGCTCATTCATTGCAGCTGTGTGTGTGTTGTGGGGATATGTTGATTTGCTTCGTAGCTAGGGTGGCCTTCGAAATATTACACTAGAGCCTCAGGGTGTGAGGGAAGGTTTTGATCATTTAGAGATTTTTTTTCACAGCGAGACACTGCATCTTAAGAGCCTGTGTTAGAGAGTAGACAGAACAGCTATAGTATAGCCTTTACATGATATGTTGATTTGCTTCGTAGCTAGGGTGGCCTTCGAAATATTACACTAGAGCCTTAGGGTTTGAAGGAAGGTGTTGATCATTTAGAGGTTTTTTTCACAGCGAGATACTGTCTTAGGGAGTAGACAGAACAGCTATAGGCTTTACATTATATGTTGATTTGCTTCGTAGCTGGGTTGGCCTTCGAAATATTACACTAAAGCCTAAGGGTGTGAGGGTAGGTCTTGATCATTTAGAGATCTTTTTTACATAGCGAGTTAACAGTCTGTCTGAGTATTAGACGGCAACAGCTATAGGCTTTGCTTTGCTTCGCTACGAATTCATACCAGCGCTGATTCATGGTCTTGTGTTAGATAGCCCGTGGTGGCTTCGGAAAATAACTGAAAGCTTCCGAGATGAGAGATCCGAATTGGCGGCGATAAATATTACAACGCGGCATTTGTATGCATTGAAAGGACGGATACAAATTTCCTGTAGCCTTTAGGAAGCGGTTATGAAGTGGTTAATACGTTCGTACGGAGCAACCCCGGCCTGTGCCTGCTCGGTCTGATACCTAGTCTCCAACAGACCCCTTTTGCATGCTGAATAAATCGTAGAAATCGGACTAAAAAAGAGTATATAATTGGCCAGAGGAGTTTGCCAATTGGACCCTCTATGGCCGGCGAACTCCTCTGGAAAATTATAATATATCCCCTTTTTAGGCCGATTTCAACGATTTATTCAGCCTTCAAAAGGAGTCTGGTTGTAGCCTCTATAGCATGCCAAAAACTGAGGGGTTTTGGGGGTATTTTCCGATTGCATATAGACAACATAGCCGGCCTGGTTGGATTACCACCGTTTTTACAACTGGGCTAATCAGAAAACAGCGGAAGACCACCAAAACCCCAGTTCTATAAGCCTGCTACGGAGGCTACTCAGAAAACAGCCGAAGACCACCAAACACCAGTTCTATAGGCCTGCTACGGAGGCTAATCAGAAAACAGCCGAAGACCACCAAACACCAGTTCTATAAGCCTGCTACGGAGGCTAATCAGAAAACAGCGGAAGACCACCAAACCCCCAGTTCTATAAGCCTGCTACGGAGGCTATCTGACACCAGCGTGGCGTGACGCTTGTAGTGGCTTCGTTTCCAGTCGACTGACGGTGACCTATTCGCGGAGACTCTGTGTTTACCTCCGCCTGTCACCTCGGTGCGACCCGAGGGCACCTCCTTTCACCCTCGGGCAGATACTGATTTAATTGAGGGCCTGCATTCGGGGTTGTAGTGATATTACAGATTACGCTAAATTTTCGCCGCCGATTACGAATTACGTTAAACTCTCAGAGCTGATTACGACTTTACGCTTTGTGCCTAATGTACTAAAATTACGTTGACTTTTGGGGATCGAGGCTGCGTACGGATTACGAAGACTAAAATATGCCTGATTACGCCTTACGAAAAAGCGCATGCAGGCCACCTTAATTCTGTGCACTACTCACAACCGTGAGAAAATATCAAACCCTATTAAAATCTAGACCATACCCTCCACCTCCTACCCAACAAAAATGACAGCCAGGGCGAGGTTGTTAGCAAGGATACCGTATCAAGTTGCGAGTCGTCCTACTCTGGAAGGTCAGCCCGCGCGGGTGTAACTGTCGGCCTACTAATAACAACTTGTTAGAGTCTCGTTACCATAATTGTTGCGACCTTGAGTGTAGCAGAGACATTGCTACAGCAGTAGTAGCCTGTTGCGTTCTGTGTGCTACATGCTAGTATACACTCCAGGGGTCTCCCAAATTTTTTTTAGGCGAGATGTGCTTCCTAACCCACTAAAAATCTGTCAATTTTCATGAAAATACTTAGAGAATACTCTAGATTTGAACATTTTGGGAGAGGTGCTAGGATTTTGGGTAGAGGGGGGGGGGGCACCCTTGCTTCATTGCTTGGGGAGAGCCCTGTAACTCCCAGCCTCGTGTAACAGACCACGAGCTTGTCGCTGCGCCTGGCTACCCCTCGTTGATCCGAAGTAGCACCCTGTGTTTGTGTATAAACGCGCTCTGTGTGCGTGGAGAGGGTTTGTATGGAGAGTGTAACCGCCCGGGCGTTACGCTTAGGCTAGGCTGTCGTGCCGAGGAGGGTGCTTCACTTCTATCGTATCTAAAACCGTGCCTATATATATAGTTGTATGCCTGGATGTGTTAGATGTGATCTGTTCACACGGTCTTGGATGGGTCTTGGATAGTCTCTGCGTATCTAAGAACGTGTGTTTGCCCCAGGCGTGACTCTGGATACGCGTGGACAATCCAGAAGGGAGCCTGGTTCTGGATTAAGCACCGTTCTGTATATAACATGGGTTGTTGAGGCTGGAGTACCACAATACTGTATGGGTAAAA